GAAGATCAATTAGAAGCAAACATGCAATTCTAGGCTAAACAAATATCCAACTCCCTTTCTAGCTCCCTGTGGAAATTGACCCCGATACCACTATTGGGTAAAAGTATTAGCGCCCACTCTTCCTAAGGTTGAGTTCGTTGCGACCTAATCAATGTAGAACTGTCGGAGGGTTACAAACCTCCTAAGTTCGAGATGTTTGATGGAACTGGTGATCCAAAGGTGCATTTAAGGACATATTGTGACAAACTGGGAGGAGTTGGCAAAAATGAACGAATCCGTATGAAGCTGTTCATGAGGAGCCTCACTGGAGATGCTTTGTCATGGTACATCAGTCAGAACCCAAAAAAGTAGGTTAATTGGGTGAGCATGGCGTCAGATTTCATGGATCGATTCAAGTTCAACACAGAAAATGCACCAGACATTTTCTACATTCAGAATCTCAAGAAGAAACCAACAGAAACCTTCCGCGAGTATGCTACTCGATGGAGGTCTGAAGCTGCGAAGGTAAGACCGGCACTTGAAGAAGAACAGATGAATAAGTTCTTCGTTAGAGCTCAAGACCCGTAATACTATGAAAGGTTGATGGTCATTGAAAACCATAAGTTCTCTGACATCATCAAGCTGGGAGAGAGAATAGAAGAAGGGATCAAAAGCGGAATAGTGACAAATTTCAAAGCATCTAGGCCACTAATAAAGCTTTACAACCAGGAGGCAACTCTAAGAAGAAAGAAGTGGGTGCAGTAATGGTAGCCCAAGGTCCGAAGTCTCCTATCACATACCAAACACCTCCACCCACATACCAGCCTTCACCTCCCAAATACTAACAACCTGCTGCCACCGACCACACTTATAACACCCAACCTGCATATTACCACTCGCCACCACCAGCCCGCCAAAATTACCAAAAATCCCGACCAAATTTTGACAGCAAACCACCCAGACAATATACTCCAATTGCTGAACCCATAGACCAATTATATGAGAGACTGAAGGCTGCTGGCTATGTCACTCCCATCTTTGTCGTTGCTATGGAAAACTCTTCTCAGTGGATTAACCCAAACAAGACATGCGCCTATCACTTAGGCATGAAGGGCCATACCATTGATGAGTGTCGCACGCTAAAGGACAAAATTCAGACATTTATCGACACTAAGGTCATACAGGCAAAGGAGGATGCACCCAATGTTCGTAACCAATCCTCTCCCAGACGACAGAGGTGAGAGAGTGAATGTGATAGAGACCGATGAGGAATGGGATCTGGAGGGGTCAATTGGACTCATTTAGGAAGGGGATGATCCTAAAACATCTCCAGTCACCCTCACGCCCATTGTGGTACAAACCCAAGCACCATTTGAAGTCGAGGTAACCACACCCTTCACTGTGATGGTAGCACTCACGCCATCTTACAAGTTTGATGCTATACCATAGGATTATGTTGCGGAAGCAAGGAGGAAAGGAAAATCAGAAAAGGAAGAAACAGGTGCAGCATAAGGCATGACTAGAACTGGCAGGAGGAACAAGCAAAGAAGCTGCATCTAAGCCTCCTGTCGTTGAGACTTACCCTGAAGACCTTTGGAGAAAAGTGCAAGCAAGAGAATACTTTGTGGTTGACCATTTGAACAAAACTCCTACTCAGATCTCCATTTATCACTGCTATAAAACTCCGAGACACACAAAAATGCCCTGATGAAGGTGCTGAGTGAAGCCTATGTACCTACCAACATCACTAGTAGAGAAATGGCCAACATGGTTGGGCAGGTATTGGAAAGCCACAAAATCACTTTTCACGAAGACGAGCTGCCACCGGAAGGACTAAGTCACAACAGGGCACTACACATCACAATGAAATTTGAGGATAAATTCATTGCCAGGGTCCTTATAGATGGGGGTTCGAGTCTCAACATATGTCCAGTGACTACTCTTAAGAGGCTGGGTAAAGGCCTGCACGAGATACAGGCAAAAAGCATGAGTGTGAAGGCGTTTGATGGATCTCAAAGGGCCACAATCGGAGAAATTAACCTCAGCTTACAGATGGGTCCAACTTGGTTTGATGTTGAGTTTCAAGTGCTGGATATATATGCAACCTACAATCTACTGTTGGGACGACCCTGGATACATGCCGTAGGGGCCGTAGCTTCTACTTTGCATCAAGCTGTGAAGTTTGAACGGAATCATCAGGAAGTGATCATCCATGGAGATGGGAGTAATCCTATTTATACCAATCAGACTGTTCCAGTCATCGAGAACAGGAAGAAGCTGGGTGGAGAAGCATATCATCGCATTGAGCTCGTCAACGCAATTGAAAAAGGCAAATGGTGGAGTAACAAGATAGAAAGCATATTGCTATGGACAGGGTATGAGCCTGGCAAGGGTCTCGGCAAGAATCTCCAAGGGATCACCAAACTGGTACAGCTTAAGCGTCATGGTACAACTTTCGGGCTTGGGTATGCATACACTTGGCAAGAGTATCAGGATTGGTTGCCACCATGGCGTGGTTCTTATTATCTGCTGGAACAACCTGTACCACATTTGCGCCAAACATTTCAAAAAGCTGACATGATATGGGGGTCTGAAGAAGATGAAGCTTTATCTGGCATAAGGAATCTATTTTTGGATGAGGAGGACATGGACTACACTGTGATAGTTGAGGAGGAGGAGGAGGAAGACCTTACCATTCAGATCGTGGAGAAAGGAGTTGTTCTCAAGAACTGGACCGCTGCACCATCCTGGGCCCGTCGAGTTCCTGGCATTATTATTACTTATCCCGATGAACCTACGACTGTGACATGTATTGAGACAACGCAACATAAGGATAATGATTCAGAGGATCTGGAGGATGATATAATACCTGAAGAAACTGTCAGAGAAGTGAAAAATTTTGAAACCAAGCCAAAGTCTAATTTGGATGAGACCGAGACAGTTAACTTAGGGGACTCTGAATCAGTCAAGGAAACACATAAAAATATTCACCTATCACCATCAGAGAAGGAAGAGTACATCCTGAAGGAATATGAAGACATCTTTGCATGGTCTTACGATGATATGACTGTTCTGAGCACATCCATGGCTCACAAGTTACCCATCGATCCCACGTGTCCACCAGTGAAACAGAAGCTCAGAAAATTCAAACCAGATATGAGTTTGAAGATAAAAGAGGAAGTCACTAAGAAAATCAAAGCCAAGGTTCTCACACCATGGGGGATGTACTACTATAAAATGATGTCGTTCCGTTTGAAAAATGCTGGAGCCACTTACATGAGAGCTATTTTTCCATGACATGATACACAAGGAAATAGAGGTGTACGTGGATGACGTCATCATCAAATACAGAAGAAGCACAGATATATAGCAGACTTGAGAAAATTCTTTGATCGGCTTCGAAGATACAATCTGAAGCTGAACCCTGCAAAATGTGCCTTCGGAGTCCCTGCCGAAAAATTGCTAGGATTGATCGTCAGCCGCCGAGGGATTGAATTGGACCCTTCAAAAGGTCAAAGCTATCCTGGACTTGCCACCTCCAAAGAACAAGAAAGATGTGATGAGTTTCTTAGGGCGTCTCAACTATATCAGCCGTTTCATAGCACAATCAACTGTGATCTGTAAACCGATTTTCAAAATGCTGAAGAAACATGCTGCGACAAGCTGGACTGAAGAATTCCAAAAAGCCTTTGAAAAAATTAAAGAGTATTTATCTAAACCACCTGTTCTGGTCCCATCGGAATCGGGGAGACCTTTGCTGCTTTATTTGTCCGTACCAGATGGGGCTTTTGGTTGTGTTATGGGATAACACGATAAGACAGGACGAAAGGAGCAGGCCATATATTATCTAAGTAAGAAATTCACATCCTATGAAGCACGGTACTCTTTGCTAGAGCGCACGCTTTAACATGGATAGCTCAAAAATTGAGGCACTACTTCTGTGTCTATACCATATATCTCATATCAAGAATGGACCCGTTGAAATACATCTTCCAGAAACCCATGCCTACCGGAAAGTTGGCAAAATGGCAAATATTGTTAAGTGAGTTCGAGCTATGTAACTCAGAAGGCAGTCAAAGAGCAAGCATTGACAGAGCATTTGGCAGAAAATCCTGTAGACGGAGAATATGAACCGTTGAAAACATATTTACCCGACGAGGAAGTATCATTTGTGGGAGAGGACATCACTGAAGCATATGATGGTTGGAGGATGTTCTTCGATGGAGCTGCAAACTTCAAAGGAGTGGGTATCGGAGTTGTCTTAGTGTCAGAAACAAGCCAACACTATCCGGTATTTTATCAAAATCCAGGTTTCCATGTACCAACAATATGGCGAAATATGAGGCTTGCATCTTGGGACTCAGGTTGGCCATTGACATGAACGTTCAGGAGTTACTGGTAATTGGAGATTTCGATCTTTTGGTACATCAAGTTTTAGGGGAATGGGCTACCAAAAACACCAAGATATTACCATATCCGTACTGTGTGCAAGAGCTGATCAAGAGGATCATGAAGATAGAATTCAAAAATGTTCCAAGGATTCAAAATGAGTTTGCATATGCATTGGCCACTTTATCTTCCATGATACAACACCCAGACAAGAACTTAATCGATCCTATTCCAATACGAATTAACAAGCAACCAGCTTATTATGCTCATGTTGAATAGGAAAGTGATGGAAGACCATGGTTCCACGACATCAAGGAATACCTGGCAAAAAGAGAATATTCAGAGCACGCAACTCATACTTAGAAACGTACGCTTCGAAGGTTAGCCAACCACGTCTTTCAAAGTGGAGGAATTCGTACAGAAGGACTCCTGACCTGAGGTTACTACGATTTGTTGATGCCAAGAAAGCATCCAGACTGCTCGAGGAAATACATGCCGGAACCTGCGGGCCACACATGAATGATTTTGTCTTAGCCAAGAAAATACTAAGAGCAGGGTATTTCTGGATGACCATGGAGACAGACTGCATCAGGCATGTCTAGAAGTGTCACCAATGCCAGATACATGCTGACATGATACGAGTGCCACCCAATGAACTCAATGCAACAAGTGCACCCTGGCCTTTCTCTGCTTTGGGCATGGATGTCATCGGTCTGATCGAACCCGCTACTTTGAACGGACATAGATTTATTCTGGTGGCCATATACTATTTTACAAAATGGGTTGAAGTCGCATCTTACGAAGCTATAACTAAGAAGGTCGTTGTAGATTTTGTTCGTGATCACATTGTTTGTCGGTTTGGGGTTCCAGAGTCAATCATCACCGACAACGCCACCAATCTTAACAGTGATTTAATGAAGGCTATGTGTGGAACTTTTAAGATCAAGCATAAGAATTCCACAGCATACATGCCGCAAATGAATAGAGATGTAGAAGCCGCCAATAAAAACATCAAGAAGATACTGAAGAAACTGGTGGATAATTACAAACAATTGCACGAGAAGCTACCATTTGCTCTGCTTGGATATTGTACCACAGTTCGCAAATCGACTGGGGCAACTCCTTATTTATTGGTTTACGGTACTGAAGCGGTTATCCCTGCCGAAGTAGAAATCCCTTCTCTAAAAATCATACGAGAAGCCGAGCTTAGCAATGCAGAATGGATACAAAGCCGATACGAACAACTAGCTCACTTGATGGAAAGAGAATGGATGAAGTATGTCACGGTAAACTCTACCAGAACAGAATGACAAAAGCTTTCAACAAAAAGGTCAGACCAAGGCAATCCATACCGGGGCAATTAGTGCTAAAATGAATTTTCCCGCACCAAGATGAAGCTAAAGGGAAATTTTCACCCAATTGGCAAGGTCCTTACATGTTCATCGAGTATTAACAGGAGGAGCACTCATACTTGCAGAAATGGACGGAGAGATTTGGCCAAAACCTAACAGCTCAAACGCAATCAAGAGATACTATGTTTAGGATTGTTTACATTTCTTCATTTGATGTAACTGAACTACGCTTGACCTGATTCCTATTTAAGAAGGGATACGTAGGCAGCCCTGTGGGTTCGGTCACATCTCAATAAAATCTTCATCTTTGCCATGATCAGAAAACTGGGGTAGAATTTTGAGGAGGACCTTCAAAATTCTAAAGCAAGTTCAGCCAACTTCGTCATACCCGGAACAGCCAAAAGTATTGCATTTAAACTGGGGCAAAATTTTGAGGGGAACCCTCAAAATTCTAAGGCAAGGAGGTTGCAATGTCCCCAAAATGTGTCACAGTCAGCGGTTCATCTAAATTACTTGACATTGCATACTACTACATTTTTAAACCATTATACTAATCAAATGCATGCATATTTTTTGAAAACTTTATTTCTATGAAAGCAGATGTTACCCAAGGTAACTCAAACATGGTCTCAAAGCTGGAGCAAACATAGAGCAAGAAGACGAAAGTGTGAACCAACCTTCTCCCCACAGAACTTATAATTTTTCTCAGAATGCAGGCACAATAAGACAACGATACTCACAGACACGTCAAGACACTGCCTTCAAGACAAAAAATTATCTAGCACAAACATCTTCAGCTAAGAAATACTTTACTTTCCCATTCGTCTCCTATTCTTTGCATGAGGCTAAGCATTGCCTCCCTAATTGCATAAGGCTAAGCACTGCCTTTCTCTACATGAGACTAAGCATTGTCTCCTCTTTCCATGAGGCTAAGCATTGACTCCCCAATTGCATAAGGCTAAGAACTGTCTTTTCTTGCATTGAGACTAAAAACCGTCTCCTCTCCTTGCATGAGGCTAAGCATTGCCTCCCTAATTGCATAAGGCTAAGCACTGTCTTTCCTTGCATTGAGACTAAGCACTGTCTCCTCTTCTTTCATGAGGCTAAGCATTGCCTCCCTAATTGCATAAGGCTAAGTACTACTTTTCCTTGCATGAGACTAAGCATTGTCTCCTCTTCGCATGAGGCTAAGCATTGCCTCCCTAATCGCATAAGGCTAAGCACTGCCTTTTCTTGCATCAAGACTAAGCATTGTCTCCCCTTCCTGCATGAGGCTAAGCACTGCCTCCTTATTTAGAGGAGACTAAACATTGTCTCCTCCTCTGCATGAGGCTAAGCATTGCCTCCCTAAGGCTAAACACTGTCTTTCCTTGCATTGAGACTAAACATTATCTCCTCTTCTTGCATGAGGCTAAGCATTGCCTCCTTAATTGCCTAAGGCTAAGAATTGCCTTGTCCTTGAATAAGACCAAATGTTATCTCCATTACGCTATTTAAGACCTAGCACTATCTTCTATTCGCTAGGGGATAAGCACTGCCCTAATCTTACACAAGACTAAGCTTTGTCTTGTTTTATTTTGCATATGACCAAGCATCATATCCTTGCATCTCATGGGCTGAAGCATCATCATTTTGTCCAAAGGCATCATAGTCCGAATGCATCATCCTCACAGCCGGAAGACACCATTACATGGCCTGAGGATCTCTCAATATTGCACATCATTATTCAAAGGCATCATCGTCCGGAGGAACAATCTTCATGGACCGAGGACATCATTTCATGGCATGTGAATCCCTTATCGCATAATTCATGGCCCGGGACATCATGGTCCAGGTACATCATCCTCACCGTCCAAAGACAACCTTCATGGTCCAAAGGGAATTTGCATCATGTTTAAATTCTCGCAATAATCCATATATGTCTGCATGCATCGTGTTTTGAAGTTTTGCTGGTAATCCAGGAAGTAACCGTTCTTCAAATAGGAGAAATTTTTGCTCCGGTTTCCGTTCATAACGTTCACATCCATCAAATTGTCTCAAATGTAACCGACCACCATCAATCACCCGCCTTTCACTCATCATTGGGCAGGTTGGGGATTTGAAGCATAAGGGTAGTGAACTCCTTGACATAGTTACGTATGCTCCCTGTTTGCTTCAATTCCCTAAGCTTGCGCCTTGCCTCGTATAAGACATTTTTTGGAAAGAATTGTCGCTTGAACTCGGCTTTGAACTGATCCCATGTGCTAATAGTACATAGACCTTTATCCACGTCGGTCATCTTCCTTCTCCACCATAGCATGGCAGTCTCTGAGAGGTACAATACCCAGTGTTGATCTTGGCCTCGTCGTCCCTCACTTTTCCATGCCTGAAGTAGTTCTCCAAGTGCTAAAGGAAGTTTTCCACTTTTTGTGCATCACGAACACCTTTGAACACCGGGGGTTTGGGAGCCTCGATCTTGGTCTCCCTCGTCACCATAACATTGTTGGCTACCTCGGTCACGCCAGCATTGACATGCTCCTCGAGTGACTCTATCTTTGCCTTCATAGAGTCGATAGTACTCAAAACCTCCATGAGTCTGCACTCTAAGGCAGTGATGGTTTGCCTTAGTTCCATCTCGGTCTATGTACGTGCCTCCAAGTCATTTCGGATACTCTCAATCTCTTCAAGAGTGTGCCCCTCAAGAATGCTAAGGGTGCCTTCCATATTCCCTAGGCGTTGGCCAAAGATCTCCACGGCATCCATCCCTGCGTTCATCTTCATCACCCGCACTTTACTGAGCGCGACGTCCTCGGGCAGGACCTCCACTTCATCCTCGCTCGCCTGAGTGGCAGATGGTTCTTGGGATGTAAGCCCTTCGTTTGACACAACCTCGGGTGGCACCTCCTCGCTCTTGTTGGTGACATTCCTCTTTTTGCTACTACCGATCTTGCCACCAGCATCCTGAATGACATTGGCTACTGTGATACAGCCATAGCATTTCAAACTCACATTTATGACCTCGCATAAATTCATCTGATACCCCCAAAAGAACCCTTTCCAAAACATACGACCATTCCTATAACAACTCCATCAGTTTCGTTCACCGTTGGATCCACAACTACACACGGCCTGATTCCCGTAACACCAGGGATATGTAGGAAACTCAGGAACTAGGGTAAAGCGGGGCAGTTGGCCATCCAATTCGGCCAAAATTGGTCATCATTTTCCTTACCCGACAACCCTTTCATCATTTCCGGGTAAAGCGGGGCAGTTGTTGATACCCAATTTTGCCCTCATATTTTTTCAAAATATATACATGCCTTCAAAATAGCATTTTATGCATCATTATTTAGTTTACATATATGTACAAGCATTTTCTATAATTTTTCATAATTTTAGAGCTTTCAAAATTAATTTTCTCGCATTTAAATTATATAAATATTTAGTAATTATCCCTTTGAATTATTTTGTGATGATTAGTTACCTAAATTATTATTTTGCACCTATAACATATGTTTCAAATATTTTTTTTACTTCATTTCATACAATCACATTAGAATTTTTAAGCTATTTTCTAATTTTGCAATAATAGTCTATATTCATGTACAAATGCTCTTTATTTATATTATTTGGGTAAAAACAACATTTTTATATTTTTTATAATAGAAAGATATTATTTTAAGCATTTCAGTGTATAAATAATATTTTATTTATTTATTAAGCATTTTCATAAAATATTTTTTGATAAATTTAAGGTATTTAAATAACAACCCAATTTTGATCAATTTTTGGACCAGAATTAGCCCAATTACATCAAGCCCACTCTAAACGACCCAGTTCCCTAGCCAAATTCGGAAATAAACTACCCCAGCCTGATAAAATCCCAACCGTTGATCAAAATTGATTAACGGCTCACAACACCCCATTCCTTTTCCTTATATCCCCCAAAACCTAACCCTAACCCCATTTCCTAAAGACCGCCGCCTCTATTCTCTTTGTCGCTCCTTTATTCTTCACTAAACCCTAGATGCCTCCCTAAATCCCTCTCCTAATCCCACTGACAATGGGATTCGACTACTATTCTCTTGCCATATTTGAATCTTTTTGGTACTGGTTCTCCGTTTGTGTTGTTACTTAAGTGCTTGCCTAAAGATGGCAAGCAATAACTTCTGTAATCAAACCAAAGGGGTTCGAATCTTTGATTTTGAGCATTGTTTCGTCTACATGCGTTAAAGAATGTATTATGTGAGTCCGATTTCATTTAGATTTCTGTTGATTTACACTTTCCCTAAAACAATAGGGTTTACCGGATTTCTCTCCTAATTGATTTTTAACTGATTTTGCATGTTTTCCTCCCTTTGTTGTTTGATTTATTTCGTTTCCTTGTGTGTTCATTCAATCTTTACTGCTATATAAGCCCCCTATTTCCCTTTTTTGGATAGAATTGAATTGACATATTATTCACTAAAATTAGGGTTTTTTGCTATTCTCTTATTCTGTATTTTGTTTTGGCCGGCTGAAGCCAAGGCCAATAATACCTTGCTACTCAACCTTCTCTTGGTGCGAGCATTGCCCAGAATTCTTCGAAGCTCTTGGGAACTTTGACGCATTGGGATTCTGGGTTCTTGTGGAATTTTGTTCTTTACTGTTATTCGTTTAACTAGTGAGTTACTGGACTTTTGCCATTTCATTCCTATTTACCTGCCATCTGCATATGTTTCACTTCTGAAGGTCGTAGCTTAATGTGTTTTCTGGGTTATTCTTGTGTACAATTCTGATTGCTTTACTTCAATTTTAGGTCTCTTTAACCTTTGACTTCATTATGTTGATAATTTGAGACATGCCTAATCCTGATTCGAGTAAATTAGATTCTTCTTTAAGTCTGTTTAGCCAATGTGTTATGAACTACTGCTGTTTGGGACCTTTGTACTTGTCAGCATCGCTTTGGTGTCTATTTTTGCTTCAGACTGTCAATTCTG